CCCCCCCCCCCCCCCCTCCACGGTCCGGGCTCCATCACTTGGTTAAAGGAAAGGGAGAGGAAGAGAAGGGTGGGTGAAAGAGAGAGAGAGTAAATAAGATGATTAAACTCGGTTTCACTTTGTTGTTTCACTCTTAGTCTCTCTCTGAAAGGCTTGTTAGAAGAGTGCAGGGTGGTCCAATATCATCGTTGCCATCACCACCATCACAGCCATCAGCATCATCAGCATCATCAGCCCACTCGATCTCTGGCCGCTGTGTAATTGTGTAGCAGTTCACTCAAGCAGGGCCATACATTAAAAGGCCCTCTGCTCTTAACAGGATGGAAATCCGCCTAATAGACAACATCAGTGCTTCCGACTCTTGCAATTACACTGATAGATGCACAATTGTGTCAGGCCAAGTGAAAAAGAACCCTGAAAACGTAGATAGGAGACAACGCTTATTGCATTATTGCTACAGGGGGGTCATTTGTAACCACAGGGGATTAGACAGCTTGGGCTGCTTGACTCAGGACCTCATTTTAGGAAAAGGGTGGAGTCACGCCACACTGACGGAAGGAATATACTGAGGCTCAGATATCATTTCTAAACTTGATGTTTTTATGTGAGGGCCAAGCAAATGACCGTTCCGTTGCAACAATATGTAAAATCTGTCCTTTGGAAGTTTTGTATGAAATATAACATTAGTATCTTAAACAAAAGTATTGGGAGGTTTTAGGTTGGGGATTAATCAAATCCAGTCCTGTAAATAAATATCCACTCAGTCCACCTTACAAATGTATCTTATAAAAATAGTTTATATATATATAGTAAATATTTCAATGGATATTAGAAAATAAAACTTACGAATAAGATGATATTTACAGTTAAATTCAAAGACGAAACCTTTTACTTGATAGACAACATATTTGGCAACAGCTATTTGCAAAATACAGAAAAAAGAGAAGATAAAAAAAAGACAAAAGATTAATTAGACATGGCTCTTGTTTACGTTATGAACATGTACATTGCAACATCTTCAAAATATGTGCCATGCCCTACGCATTAGCTACACCTGACCAAATAATAAAGCCTGTGTTAAAGTGAACAGGCACAGGGCATCAATCAATCATCCATGTTAATGTTGAGCTATAATACACGTCTGTGCTGATCAAGGGAAGCAGAATACCTCGGGTCACCTGCTTCCTCGTGCTCTGCCTGCGCTCCATCTGACTCTAAAGCAAACCTGTGCAGGTGTGAAGTTTTATGGCCATGGCAACCTGAGTGCCCGATAGCTGAGAATGCAATCAAACAAGTCATGAAAAAACAGGCATGCGTCTCATAAATCAGCCTTCCCCCTGAAGGTAAGGCATGCATTCACGTTGCAGGAAGAGAAAAGAAAGTGTATTATCCATGTACGTTCAGTATCTGTGCAGTGTTGTGTAAGAAATGAGTGATTGAGCACATCTGTCTTTGCATATCATGCAGATATATACAGTAGAGAGAGAAACAGGCAGATAGCATTTATCTACATACTTATCTTCTTACCGAGTTGTGCAAGATATTAGTGATGTCATGCAGAGGGCAATGTAACAGGGAGACATTAAGAACAAGCCCCGACCTGTGAAGTGTCAAGCTTTGGATCTCAACCTACACCACCCATGACTCCAAGGGTCCTGTGAACTCTCTGGGCTGTCCTCATTAGAGCCTGAACAGAGCCTCAGATCCCCACCCACCATCCCCAACTCCCATTATCCCAATCACTGCCACATTCAGCGTTAAATGTAAAGTGGTGCAGAATGTGAGCCAGCCAGCCAGAAAGCGTGGGCAGGGCCGCGTCTTAACCGTTTCCTCAGGATCAATCAAATCTATTGTGTCTGCAGACAGCTGCTGACTGTACACTTTGTGAGTATGTGAGGTGGGCAATTGTGGAGAGAGAAACAGAGCGAAGGGTGGGGGCGTCATCAAATGCATGACATATGTTCCTTTCATTTTGATTCTCTCTAAGGAGCCTAGGCTAATAAAACTAACATCTGATGCACTCCTTTTCCCTTTAATTAATG